GACCCCTCCCATCCCCCTCCTCACCCGAAGAGCCCGCGTGTGTCAGCCACCACCAGTTTGATGCCGTGGCTGTGGCAGAAATCGCCGACCCAGAGCTGCTCCTCCAGCGGGGAGTTGGTCAGGACCACCACCTGTGGGGAACCTGAGTCACCTGGGCCACTTGGGTCACCTGGACCACCTGTCTGGGTCACCTGGGCCACCCGGGCCACTTGGGTCACCTGGGCCACCCCCCTGGGTCACCTGGACCACCTGTCTAGGTCACCTGGGATACACGTCTGGGTCTCTTGCGTCACCTGGGCCACCTGTCTGGGTCACCTGGGCCACCTGTCTGGGTCACCTGGGCCACTTGGGGCCACCTGTCTAGGTCACCTGGGATACCTGTCTGGGTCACTTGGGCCACCTGAGACACACACCTGGGCCATGGGGGATACCTGTTTGGGTCACCTGGGCCACCTGAGCCACCTGTCTGGGTCACCTGGGCCATGTGGGACACCCATCTGGATCACCCGGGCCACCCACCTGGGCCACCTGGGCCACAGGGGACACCCATTTGGGTCACATGGGCCCCCTGAGCCACCTGTCTGGGTCACCCGGGCCACATGGGACACCTACCTGGGCCACCTGGATCACCTTGGCCACTTGGGACACCCATCTGGGCTCCCGGGGCCACCTGTCTGGGTCATTTGGACCACCCACCTGGGCCACCTGGCACCTGTGGCTGAGGGGATCACACCTGGCCCCCAGGAGGGTCACACCTGGCTGGGGGGGTCACACCTGGCTAAAGGGGTCACACCTGGCCCCCAGGTACCTGGAAGGTGGCCAGCAGCTCCTGGGACAGCGGCTCCCTTGTGCTGGTCACGGCCACGTAGGAGTTGAGCTCGGCCAGGCGCGGCAGCGTGGCCTCGGCGCGGCTYTGCCCCACGTCCTCCTCCCGCAGGTAAAACTGGGGAGGGGGCAAATCGAGGGGTCAGGGGGGGCCTGGGACCCCCAAACACCCCACAGCCCCCTCCCGCAGGTAAAACTAGGGGGAAGTGAGGGGTCAGGGGAATCCCGGTGCCCCCAAACACCCCCCATCCTCCTGCACAGAACTGGTGACAAATGAGGGGTCAGAGGGTCCCAGCACCCCAAACCCCCTCCCCAAACCTCCCTCAGGAATCCCCCTGGATCCCCCTGACCCAAATGGAATAACTGGGGAGCTCCCACGCTTTTTTAAGGATTTATTCAGGTGCACAGGAAACGCTAAACCCCATAAAAAGACCTTACAAAGCACATCAAGCTCTCAAGTTCTGTATGACGGATTACTTGTTTTCGTCAAAACGTTCAAATCCCAACAAAACCCAAATCCTCCCCAAAGGCCTCACCTGGGAGGCCAGGTCGGTCCAGGTGGCGGGGTGGGGGTCATGCAGGGTGACAGATTTGACCCCCCCCAGCACCAGGTTCTTGGCCACCTCCACGCCGAGCCCCCGCAGCCCCGACACCAGCACGTTGGACGTCTGCATGCGCTTCATGGCCTCGTGGCCCAGCACGTACCTGGGGGGAAAAANCTCCACGCCGAGCCCCCGCAGCCCCGACACCAGCACGTTGGACGTCTGCATGCGCTTCATGGCCTCGTGGCCCAGCACGTACCTGGGGGGAAAAAACGGGGGGTGGGGACCCCCAAAACCTTGCTGGAACCCCCAAAACCTCGCTGGGACCCCCCAGTGCTCATGGGGACCCCAATCTTTATACTCCTCTCCCAACAACGGTATAGGGACACCCCAATTTAAACACATCCCCCTGAATCCATCGGGGTTAACCCCTGAGTTAATAATGAACCCCAAATCCAAGGGGAGTCCCTAATCAATGGAGACCCTCCAGTGCTCAATCTCCCCAATCTTTGTATTTCTCTCCCAAAAAGGATGTAGGGACACCCCAATTTAAACACATCTCCCTCAATCCATGGGGGTTGACCCCTGAGTTAATAAGGAACCCCAAATCCAAGGGGAGCCCCCAATCAATGGAGACCCCCTCAATGCATGGGGACACCCCCCAAATTCATGAAGACTTCCCAGTGCTCGTGAGGACCCCAAACTTCACATTCCCCCCCCCCCCAAGGGTGTAGGGACTCCCCCAATTTAAACACATCCCTCTCAATCCATGGGGGCTGATCCCTGAGTTCATAAGGAACCCCAAATCCAAGGGGAACCCAAATTCATGGCGACCCCAATCCTCACATTTTCCCCCCCCAAGGGCGTAGGGACCCCCTCAATTTAAGCACATCCCCCTTAACCACGGGGATTGACCCGGAGTTCGTAAGGAACCCCAAATCTGAGGGGAGCCCCCAATCCATGGGGACCCCACCCCAATCCATGGGGACCCCCAAACCCCCTGGGCTCCCCCAAAGCCCCCTCCCCAATCCCCCCATCACTCACAGCTGGCGGGAGTAGAGCCCCTCATCGATCTCGGCCTCGGCCCCGTTCTTCGCCATTCCCTGGGGACACGGGGAGGGGACACGGTGACAGGGGGACACGGTGACAGGGGGACACGGTGACAGGGGGGTGGCACTGTGTGCTGTGTCACCCCTGGACAGGGATTAAAACCCCCCAAGGGGTGGCAGTGGGTGACAGCCGGGACAGGGGGGTTGCGTCACTCTGCGGTGACTCAGGGCTGGGGAGGTGACACCCTGTGGGTGACACTGCCCATGATGGGTGGGACATCGGGGACCTGGCGGGTTCCAAAGAGGGACCCACAGGTGACAGCAAAGGACAGCCAAATGCCATCAGCGAGGTGGCTGTGAGCAGAGCAGGGGGGACATCAAGGGACACCCGTCACCCCCAGGACACAGTGACACCCAGGTGACACCCAGGTGGCACCAAAGGACCGTGGGTGACACCCAGGTGACGTCATGCACACAGCAGCAGCTCTGAGCAGCACAGAGGTGACAATGCCACCAGAGCTGCTGTCACCCAGATGATGACAAATTCCACCCAAAGGTGACAAAGCCCCCGTGGGGGGTCCCAGGGTCCCCTGAGGGGG